TTTAATATTTTTGTTGTAAATTTTCAAGAGCAAAAAAATGTATAACTTCACTTGCATCATATGTTTAAGTTTAATTATAATTTTAATAATATTTAAAAAAAACAACAACAACAAACAAGGATAAGAGGTAGTTAAAATAACAGCGGTGACGATAGAAAAAAAAAGTGCTTTCGACCCAGCGTTTTTATGAGGGCACGAAGGACCAGGTTTGCCGCTTTTTCTTTATTTATTTTGTTCATTACATGGGTGAATACTTTCCGGACAGACTGTGTATACGTGAAAAAAAGGTTTTTGGTGACGCCTCAATTATAAGTAGGGGACCTTACTAAAAATGTGTAGGATGAACAAAGATGTTTATAACAATGTGACAAAAATACGGAATCAAAGGTCAATAAGATATTAAATAAATAATTTAAAAAAACAACACATAAATCTTAAGAAATTGGTATCACCACTGTTTCATACTTGAGAAAAAACTTTCAGCGTCATTCAAAAAAAAAAAAATCTTGTAGTGTTATTATGTAAGCATCCCTGAAGTCGAGCTGAGCAGCTCGGTGTGAGATAGTTCTTAGAGAGAAAATCTAGTTGACCATTACAACTGAGCAAGTGAGTTGAATCATCACTGAGTGTCCTTTATTTTTAACCTTGTTCCAATGGCTTGCCTATGGTGCAGTTTATACCACTCTCCGGTCTTTCGAACAGGAGTAGAGGTGTATCCATTGTTTCCTGTTTAGTATTAGTTTCCTGGTTCATTCTAAAGTTTACTTCAACTCTATACTTCTAAAATCGTCTAAACTGACATTTTATTTACTATTTATATTTCCTCGATAGGAGTAGATTGGATCGCCTATCGTCCGGTTCAGACTTCTCCTAGATCTTTTGAACAGGAGTAGAGGTTTATTCCATGGTCTCCAGTCCCTTCTAAAGTATTTTCACTCTTTTTCACTCCCAGTAGCCCCCCTTGCGTCTTATTGGGTTTACCGGCTTGTTTGGACTGTATTGATTTAAAAAATGTAAATTAAATCTCTGATGTTCAGATCAAGAATTAGCTTTAGTAGGCACCCACATTAATGCCGTGTGATCTGAAGACAGCCGACAATTTATAAGCTGAATCCTTGTAATGATAGATGAGAATATTAATCCGATGAAATTATGGTATTAATCAATAAAAATCTCTTGTCAGAATTTAATAGAATATTATTAATTTCAGCCATCGACAAAAACAAGAACACTCAATAAATTTGCCACAAATAAACACGCTTCTAAAAAGAAATATTCACTTAATCCGATCTAATCGTAGAATGCGGTTATTTACCAAAACCCGCCTACAAAAACAAATAGAATATTACGCCGCGTTCATATTCCAAGGAGAGAGTCTCTCTGCATTAATAATCTGTGTTCGAAATGCCGACCCTTATGAGTTCAGGCACTGACGACATGTTCCTAAGAGAAACAAGATTTACGAATATTTGAAATGTAACAGCTGTCAGAAGATCGAAGATGGTGGTTCACTGAACTACCTTGATAATCACAATTCGAATCCATAGTTTCTTGTTGGGTACAAAACCTCACTTATTAAAATTACCTTAATCGATAGATATAGTGATTTACTAAGCAAAGCTTAGGTTTGGCAGAAAGCCGAAAGTATAGGACACCCAGTGAGGATCAAACTTCCTACTCAGTCGTAACTGATCTAACAAGACAAGCTTGTTAACCATTACAACACGTTGAAGCTATAGACAGTCTATAAATTGATCAGTAAATATTCAAAGGACTTATCTCGTTCAACAACTCCAGTTATAGAAATATAAAATGGCATTCTAACATCAAGTAATCATAAGAATTTTGGTTTTAAAACGCAGTTAAAATATAGAAAAATCGTTGAATGACACGAGTATAAATGTATTAGACGTTTGATGTTACTCTTCTGGTGAACTACAACACGAAGGATTGTGGAAAGCAGGGAAAAACACCAGGACTTCAGTCGAGAGATTCAACATATGCAGAATATGGAAATGTTTTTTTTAATGTAGTCAACGAGATGCTACTGACACTGTAGAAAACTACCCTCATTCCCCACGTATTTCATTGGTAAGAACTAACTTCCCGTGAACCACTGTTCAGTTGAACTGACTCCCAAGAGGATGCTTACCCGATCATTAGAATGTTAATCTGTTCAATTCGAGGCTTAAATCGTTATCTTCCCTTCATATCCGCATAAACTGCCTCTTACTCTGTAACCCTCTACCTTGAGTGGCCCTTGGGTATGATACTGGGTGAACCTTACCGTAAAAAAAAAAATACAGAAAAATGTCCCAAAAAGTACTTGAACCACCTAAGATATTGAGGGATGTATTTCAGACTGAACACTTGATGTGTTCGCTTTTTGCAATATTACTCTGGGTACACGTTTATACCCAATAATAATAATAATAATAGTTATTCCCCCAGATGTGGGTTAAATAAGGTAAATTAGTCTCGCTGTTCTTATATATTATCCAGCCTAAGAGAACGACTACCGTGGGGAATTGTAGCAATTCACAGATAATAAAAGAAAGGAATATGTGGCCGAGCCATGATCCTGAAGGACCTTGACATTAAAACAAAGTGAAAGAACGATAGAATATTGGGTGTTGCCTGCAAGTGCAAAATGGTAAGTAAACTTGTCTTACAGAACAATTCACTCGCGCAATGAGAATGAATTTCAGAGAGCTCCCTTTCCGAATTTGAAGTTTTAAATCAGAAGGCGCTAAACTTAGTCAATAACTATGACATCATTGGGAGGTTCATATTTTCCCACTGGCGTCAGAAGTCAAGTCCAGGTAAAATCCAGACTTCGAATGCTGATTTTCAAAGTAAGCAAGTCCTTCTTTGAAAGACCAATACAATACAATTTAGAAGAATAAAATGGAAGAAAAAGGAGGAAAGATGGAAGAAATAATAATAATAATAATAATAATAAGAAGAAGAAGAAGAAGAAGAAGAAACAAGAAAAAACACGAAAAAATAATGATATGAAAATGATTCGTTACTCGATAGCAATCATCTAGAAAAATAGATTCGACAAAATTGCCGATGAAGATTATTTTTAAAAAGGCGCGAATTTCATTCAGTTTAACCCCCATACTGATGCAATTGGTATTCCTACTAGATACAGTCCTATAGAATGCTAACGACTACTTTGTCACTAAAGTTTGAATTGACTACTGTTTACCGGGCTCTCATATTCTTGGGAGGCTTTCCAAATGCCAATATTGAGTTGTTTCAGTAATTATATTTTGGGATACAGATAAAATTGAAAAAGGTTTAACTTGACTACTGTTTACCGGGCCCACATTCCTTGCAGTAGAAAACGACTTGACTAAAACAGTTCATTAAAGTTAAGCCTATTGAAGTAAATCTTTCGAGCAGATATGAGCGTTAAATGGTAGAGCACATCAGGCTATATAACGGTTCCGTGTAGGATACACGTTCGATTCCTGTTGTAGGATATATATTTTCTATGAAATTTTTCGGACATTCAGGCCGGTAAATGTAGTTAATACTGTTTACTGTAAACAGAGCATTTACTTAAATATTTGTATCTATAAAAGTAACTTATAAACAGAAAATATATTAAAATAATTGTAGGCTTCGTTTTATTTTTATATTTTATTTTTATATATATATATATATATATATATATATATATATATATATATATATAAATTAAATAATATTATATAATCCGTATGGAATTTCCAAGAGGATAAAGATCGAAGGAGAGCTCTATGTCGGGGACATAGCAATATTATTAATTAATGAATATCAAACATTAAAAATACCATAGGTAATAATCTTTATTTTCATAAAAGCTTTAAAAGATAGCTATAAAATGCAAATATATTTTTATAGTTATTTTTTATAGCTTTCATTAAATAAAGATTATTACCTATAGTATTTTAAGTGTTTGATATTCATTAATTAATATATATATATATATATATATATATATATATATATGAAAGGTACTTGATGGATGGAAGAAAGCTGATTTATTCAAATTTATCTATCAGACGAACAGCGATAGCGGAATAAGAAAATTGGAAAAATTTGTACTTTCACTAAAACCGCTATTAATCCGAAAACGTTCTTTCTAAGGACGAAAAGCGTCACATTATATATATATATATATATATATATATATATATATATATATATATTCTCGCTTAAAATATTTTTTTATCTCTTACACTCTTTTTTCCCCAAGTAGGCATGTATGTGTGCGGACGTATGTAGATTAGACTATCTTCAAACTACATTCATGAAACAAAATAATCGCATATAGGATTTCATGCTTAAGAAACAAGCTGACTGAAACAAAAAAAAAAAAAAAAACTTGCTTAAATGCTATATAATTTTCACGTCACGTGGATGCCTGCCATGTTACGATGTTTAGCGAGATCGTCTCGCAGACCAATTCTCACAACTGCAGTGTGGTACGATATGGAATTACTGGCAGCGTAGCGGTTATCGGCGAGAAGAGTTCACATTCCAGCCATGCCTCCCGTATGAGAGTTTTTGCATAAATGCCCTTCGGAAAGGACACGAACCCTTCTTTTTCTCATTTATGAATCAAATAGCAGAGTGGACTAGGCTGTCTAGCTTTTGGGTGGCAACAAGTTTCGGAGAAGACAAATCTGGATTCCAAACCGCGGAGAAACCATTCCATTATATTTCCCAAGAAGGCGTGGCAATTAAGATAACAAAGAAAAAGTAATTTGTGGAAAACCAGCGTCGCTTACATCCTGGCGGTGTATGACACTTAAAATGATGGGTTCGATCCTAACAAGAATCTTAGAGTTATACCATTGTGCTAGATAGTGTTACACTTTGTAAATAACTATACATACCGTTTTTACTCGTGTATAAGAATACTTCATGTATAGTATGACCCCTGAATTTTTTTTCGGATATCTTGTGTATAATGCAACCCAAAATTCTGTGCAATACTAAGCATATGGCTATATTACATTGAAACACCGCTTCCCGCAAGATCACCAAAGGTAAGCAACGTCGAGCCTGGTCAGTACTTGTATGAGTGACCCCTTGGGAATACTAGTTACCGTAAGCTTGTATGTGCGTGTGGTGTACAACGACTCAAAACTGGAGAACCGAGTTCCAATTCCAATCGGGTACTTTATATTCATTTACGCGCAGATTCCCTTCGAAAAGTTATGAAACCACATCTTCTTTCCCTCCAGCCATGGGTTAATTAGTATGACTTGTATCAGCAAATCATTATTATCGCAAAAAATATTTTCTGTTTTTAAATAATCTGCAAAGGGTTGATAAGCCGTAAAACACCAATCAATCAATCCAACATAAGCAATGCTGGTAGGCCTAACGTAGGCAAACATTGCAGTATTGGGCATCTTCCTGGACATACAGGGTGCGATGGATAAATTGTTGCCATTTTTTATTTTTAATTTCGCGCATGCGCCTTAAATGTTTCTGATATTGTCGACTGCACAGAAAAATTGGGTCAGTTAGGCACTGTCTATGAACACCATGATGCAATTCACTCTGCCAGAAATTTGGAAATGACATACTGTACTGCTTAGCAGTACGCCGGAAGTTCTAATACGGACATTTCGGAGTGTTTGAGTGTCAAACTGCTGACAGTGTAGATGGTTCGGAAAGAGTTGGACGAGTCTAATTGTGATTACGTTGTTATTTAGAGTGGTCACTGGTGATGGCGACGTTATGGCTCCATTCATCTTGCCACAGGGTCTTGGGGAGGTAGTGCTGTTCTGGGTCAAGAAGGTGGCTGCTGGAAGTCCCTATGTCTAGCATCAGGCTACAACCCCATTGATCATTATATGTAAGGCACAGTTGAACGAAAGACCAACAAAACTCCTTGTAATACCAAAGATGAACCGAAGGCAAGGATTATGGCAGCATTCACTAACTTAAAGTAAGAGAACATCCAGAAGAGTTGCAGGAGATTCCGAAGTCATCTGGAGGTTGAAACTAATGGCAATTTTATTGAATAAATTCTTTAGTATTTCAAGATATTTTTGTGTCATTTTGGTAAATATATCTGGTGAAATGAGATGTCAGTGTTATTTTCATTTTTGCGCCATTTAGATGACAATTTATCCATCGCACCCCGTATTTTATAGCAAATAAAATGGTAATGTAGCACCAGTAAATGTAAAGAATACAATAAATATAAATAAACAAAGGAAAACAGAATAAAGGACAACCGAGGCATCTATGGTATAGATACGCGTCTTAGAGAAAAGGGTGTCGTTAGCAAAGTAATATCTCAGTGATATGACCACGTGCGAATGAAGATGAATGCAAATTAGAGAAAAGAATTTAAAAAAACAAAAGAACATTGTAAATTCTTAATTTATATAAGACAATTATAGATTTTAAGAGGCATACATAGTGAATGATGTTCTGCTATTCATTAAACATCAGAAAGAATCAAGGTCACGGGCGGTAGGCTAAAGGAGCTTTCCTTTACCGTTAAGCTTAGCCAAAGGTACCGCGAGAATTTAGCCCTACCAGGTAGGTTACGGTCATCAAAAATGCGTGACATTTAACCCCCATCCAGAAAAAAATTACCCGTGTATTGTGCAAACGGTCACTAAAAATGTATGATTTTTTAACCTCATCCAAAAAATTACCTTTGTATAGTACGACCTCCTATTTTTTACGTAAATACTGATATTAAATACTTGCATTATAGTCGAGTAAATACGGTGTACCATCATCAAAATTTCGGTATTTAAGAGGGTGCAGAAAGGTTCTCAGCCCGATAAAGAAGCTGATGTTTAGTCATTTGATCAGATGTGGGGACTTTGATGGGCTGAGAAATTTTCGTGGATTTCACTTGAGTATTTGCTCGTAAATAAATGTAACGAACCCGACTGGAATTCGAACTCCGCTCTCCGATTTCTCATTCCGAGCCATTATCCATCCTACCATCCTCACATTCAAATAAAAATAAAAAACGTAGAAATTGTCTTTCATTTTGAATGATTTAACCCCCAAGCAAAGCGATAATATCACGAGGAAGTAGAGGGTGAAAGAGGGTGAAAGAGAAAACTTTAATGAGGATTGTTGGCGGAGGGGAAGCAAGAAATCAAAAGGGAGTTTCAACGGTGAGATGTGCGAGAAAAGAAACTGTTAGAATAGAAGAGACGGTTGTATCTAGCTAATTCAACAATAAAACGGACGGTGGGACCTAGCTGCCAACCTAGTAGCATGCTTAAATTCATATAGTCGGAGCAGTAAGGAAGAAAGCTCATTAAAACAGTTGCCATGAAAATATTTGTAAAAAAGACAGAAGAAAATCACGTCGGTGAGAAAGTGTCTGATATCCAGATGCTGGATCAGAACCGATTACATTTTTTGCATATATTTTATTCACTTTTGTTGGAGAAATAAGCGAACGTGTTTTGTAAATGGAATTTTTTTTTTTAACTTTTCAAATTTATTTCCTACCCGCGTGAAAAAATTACTGAACGAATTCCAAGCATACCACTTTCTTAGATTTTTTTTTTTTTTTTTACAATCGACTTAATTTTTTTTTTCTTTCAAGCACCTTGTTGAATTTGATTTTTCTTTTGATTGTCTGTGGAATTAAGAAATATTGAGATTCTCAGAAATAGAAAAGTGATAAAAATTATTTATGGATTTTCTTCTTAATAAACTCCGGCAATAGTCATTTGATTTTTAAATATTCACCGGCCGCGCATGGAACTCGACAAAGTTCTGATCTATTTGCTTTTCTTTTATGAGCAATACATATTATATCTTGGTTAAAACAGAATATACGGCTAGCGGTTGTTCTTGGCGGAGAAAGTGAAATTTGTGAGCCCCGTTCAAATTCCAGTCTAGACTGTTACGTTCGCCTAAATGCCCCTAGGGAAGTCATGAAATCAATTTTGTTTGTTTTTAATCAAATCACCTCAAACAAGGCGATAATGCCACTAAGATGCAAGGGGCTTACTGGGAGTGAAAGACAATGAGAAGAGTTTAGAAAGAACTGGAAGTCCAGTCCTAAACAGGAAATAATGGATAAACCTCTAATCCTGTTCAAAAGACCAGGGAAGAGTGTGAACCGGTGATAGGCGAAGCTAGCTATATATAATGAGTTAAATCGTAAAGTAGACTAAGCTTTGTAGCCTTGAGTAACAGTCAATGTAGAACAGAAACTTCTGTTGAAAAAACGTGGAATGGTCAATTCATTGTTTTTGTTTTTTGGGGTTTTTTTTACAGCTGATCAACACTTTGTGGTTTATTTAAAGTAGAGAGGGAAATAATGTACCACCATCTTTCCTAAAAAGTCATAACAATTCAGATATTAAGAAAAAGGAACCTCTGAATAACGATGATGCCTTGTCTCCCCCCGCCCCGGGCCTAAGCATTAAAACCAAAGTAATACAAATACTCGAAAACATGCAAAACTCTTCACAAAGACAATGAATTTCCTCTGAAATATTTTAACGAAATCTCAGAACATAAGCACATCAACATTACAAATAAATAATTAAAACGATTCATCTAAACCTGTGAATCTCCTTTGTTTGACGGAGGCCTTTCCGAGATCTCTCCATCTTTGCCGGTCATAAGAAGGAATGAACCATTAACCTATCGCTCCGGCCCAATGCGTGTTGGTAGGGGGGGGCGGATGTGACATACTTGGGCAATCATATCTCTTTTAGATTCATAATTGACTTGGCAGAGGAATTCCTGCAATAACTGCAATTACTTTCAGCGCTAGACTGGTTGCCAATCAAGGCTATAGGAACCAGTCTGTCTTGCTTTTTAACTCGTAGCTGAGGATATAAAAGATGGATTCATACTTTTCCCAATAGTATTTGCGCGTAAGTAAATGTAACGAACCCGACTAGAATTCGAACTCCGCACTCCGATTTCTCATTCCGAGCCATTATCAATCACAGCACCCACATATTCAATTAAAACGATAAAACGTATAAATTGCCTTTTTTATTCAGGAAACAGAGGGTTACAGGAGGTGAAAGACTTTAGTGAGGAGAGTTGATGAAATAACAATAAAAAAACAGGTTTCAGGAAGACAGAAAAATGGTGATTGATGTTACCTTTAAATTTTTGAGGATTGTAGGCGACAGGGAAACAAGAACTCAGAATCAACGGTGAGATGTGCGAGAAAAGAAACTGTTAGAATAGAAGAGACGGTTGTATCTAGCTAATTTAACAATAAAACGGGCGGTGAGACCTAACTGCCAATCTAGTAGCACGCTTAAATTCATATAGTCGGAGCAGTAAGGAAGAAAGCTCATTAAAACAGTTGTCATTTGTAAAAAAAAAAAAAGACAGAAGAAAGCCACTTCACGTCGGTGAGAAAGTGACTGAGATCGAGATGCCAGATCAGGACCTATTACATTGCAGACCTTTTCTTTGAATCTCGAGATAAATAACTGTAGATTTACCATAGTCATTAACATTTTTAAAACATTTCAAACTTTCCTCAGCATTCGGTCTTATCTCGTAATATTCAGGAAACGTGGTACAAGACTCTTACAGAACGTGACAATTTCACGAAAACACGGGAAATCTAATGGAATAAAATAGGTTGGTGCCTTTGCTGTATTGTCATCAATCACCGCTAAGTGACAACGTGTGTCTAGCAGAAACTTCCTCCAAAGTTAAATAAGAATATACAGCAAGAACATAATTGCTCCAAACCTAAAACCTTCATAGCTTATATTCTGCTGTTTTCTATATATTCCGGTCTTCACTAATCTATATTATCAGTTACAACTTTAAAGACAGATCTTTCAAGCTGTTTAACCTATTTACCTAGAAGGAAATAGCAATAGAAAACATACGACTTTGTTAACATTGTCTCACTTGCTGGGTGATCAAAGTAAAACCTTTGTATAATAGGCGATATCGGTAATCTCCCCTGCTTCATTTATTTTATGTAGGCCTGGATGCTTTTCACGGTACCGACTTCGCAGTGAAAGCTGTAATAGTAGAATCCCGTTCTATTGTTAGTGTCTCTCTTGTATGAGCCTGTTTGCTTCTCATGGGCCCTAGCGATTACCGTCTGACCTGCAACAGACGTAGA